TATGTCACTCTCTGGGAGACCTTGAGCCTGCAGATTGGTGTTCAGTAGGTCAGGGGTGGTGCTGAGGCCGCTGGACTGTGTGCCACAGTTTGGATAATGTCTTAGTCAGGGTTTCTATTACTGTGATAAAACACTATGACCAAAAGCAACTTGGGGACGAACGGGTTTCTTTTAGCTTACATTCTCAGGTTGAACTACATCACTGAAGGAAATCAGGGAAGGAACCCAGAAGCAGGAACTAAAGGCAGAGGCCATGAAGGAACATGGCTTCTCAGCATCTCAGCTTGCCTTTTTGTACAACTTAGTACACCTGCCCAGGAATGGCACCATCCTTAGTGAGTTGGGACCTCCCAGATCATTAAGGAAGAAAATGCCCTGCAGACTTGCCCACAGGCCAATCCTATGGAGGCATTTTCTCAGTTAGATTCCTTCTTCCCAGATGACCCTAGCTAGTGTCAAGGTGATCTTAAAACCAGCCAGCCCCAATATGTAGGGCTAGATGGGTGTTCTCAAAGTCAAGGATGCATCAGAACTGCCTGGAGCTGTTAAAACATAGGCTGCTGGATGTCCCTCAGAGCTGTTTCAGTAAGTCTGAGGTGGAGCCAAAAACCTGCCTTTCTAACCAGGAGCTGGTGATATGGCCAGACCTACATCATACTGGAGAGCTATGGGTCAGTAGTAGGGCTGGTGGGAGCAGGAGCAGAGCATGTGACGGAACCAGGCTTTGAATGTTGTGCAGGAGTGGCCACCACACAGGCCATTCTGGCCTGCCTCTGTCTGCCAGGGCGTAGTGCTCTGACATTGCTGGAGGACTTAGGATCTGCTGACTGTGGGGTATTCATTCTTCTTCCCTCCTCTTTGCAGTGCTTACCGAACAACTGAGGTGACCCATAGGGACATTGCCAACAGCTTTTTACTCTCTGAATACAACTCCACCATTCAGGAAAGCCTCTACAGGTACAGTGGAACAAGTGGGGTGACTGCAAACAAAGGACCGAGGGACTGCTGGAGGGTGCTTAGAGTCAGGGAACCCCCTCTCTCATCCTTTGCTGAGACCCAGATTCCCAGACTCCACTGCAAAATGCCAGGAGTACTGTGGACATGTAGGGCTTAAAAGCTCTTATCTGGGATCTGGTGCAGAGATCACACCAAGGTCAGAGGCTCCTGCCTCCCAATGTGCAAGGGCTTGCAAGAGATGACTAAGAAACCGTGGGGTCACAGAGAGGTAGCACACATGGCTCCACCTGGTGGACTTAGAATGGAAAAAATGCATCACTGGGGACAGGAGCAGGGGACTGACAAGCACAAGTGGCCAGGACCTTGGAGGTTCATCTGTGAAGCTTCAGGCCCTCCTGTCATCTTTGCAAAGCAGTTCCTCTTTATCCCAGCTCCCCTCCCCACCCCCCACCCCCAAATAGAAGTCTTCTCACTAGCATTGCTTATCTAATGTGAGGGTGAGAGAAGAGACGAGCCTCCATTTGAGAGGTGGCCCCTCAGTGCCTGCTTTGAGCGAGGCTCTCTACATGCTACATTGAGGAACATGAGGCTATAGAAGAGGCTTGTTAGGGTCTGCTTAGTTGTAGAAAGAGGATGGGACCATGAAGGCTTGCTTGGGTTTAAAGAAGAGGGAGGGGAAGGGAAGATGATGGAGACAGTTTGCCTCCATCCACATTCATGGAGAAAGCACTATGAGGAGGTTCGCCCGCTGGGAGAGGGAAGGTCTGAGTCTCCACTTCTTTTGTTAAAGGTAGCTTCCTTGGAAATGGGACAGGAAGGAACTGAACAGGTACCAGTCTGGAAGAGGAGGCAGCTACTGATCCCTTTTCTCACCTTTTGTGCAGGTCTAAATGTCCTTCCCAGCGGTATGTCTCCCTCCAGTGTTCCCGTAAGCTGTTTTTCTTCTTGGAGTGTGGCCTATGAGGATGAGAGTGAGGGGGCTTTCTAGGGCAGAGGGATGGAACTTTCTAGGGAAGGGGCTGCTCCTGGGATCCAAGCCAGTGAGTCTGCTTCAGGGCCAGAGAGCCTAAGAATTGGGATGCCTGGCTAATATTTCCCTCCTGGTCCTTCTGATCTTGGGACACTCAGTCTTGCAATCTCTGTCTTTCTGAGGGAGGCATCTGAGTCCCCTGGACTCCTTATAGGGGCTGAGAACTGAGGGGGAGGACACAGTGGGTGTGGGCTAGCTGAGAGTTTTATGTCAATACTCACTTGAGTGCTTGTCCGTGGAGGGTACTTACTGAACCTATGTCTGTATAGATATGGCTGTAGTTACCGGCTTTGAGAACCCTACGGTGCAACTGCCATTACTACCCAAAGTCCCTTGCCTATGGTCAGAACCCAGGCAGGTGGGGAGCTGATACCTGACCTTAGAGCTGACCCCTAATCCCTAGATGTGAGTGACTTTATAAGATCTATGTTCTTGGTGAACCCCGGAATGCAGGCTAGCTGGCTGCTGTGGCCCCAGTACCCACTGCTCAGACAGTGTGCTGTTCTCTATCCTCTGCAAGCAGAAAAGCACCATATCTGAACACACCCAGCAGTCTGCCCCTCCTTGTCCTGAGCTTGACTTGTTCCAGAGTTGCTCCCTGTGCAAACCTAGCTATGCATCACAGGAAATGCATTTCTCCTTCATCTGAAATGAGGGGCTGCTATACTAATTCTCATCACCTCAGGGTTGTGGTAGCATCCTTTGCCTTTCTGAGCCCTTGGTGACAGCCCTAGGACTCACCTTCATAACCAAGCAAGATTCAATGCCAAAGCATTGGGTATGAAGTAAGCATTTGACAGATTAACGAAAGAGCAAATGAATGGGAGCAAGGAAGGTGCTCCCTGGGTCAGAATTCCTACTAGGTAACCCCAGAAGGCTAAGACCACCTTGTACTATTTCTTCTTGGACAGGGAAGAGGTGTGCCACTTTAGACTGTGTGACCAAAGGGTGGCCATCAGGATAGGACTACCCAAGCCTGCCCTGGGCCCAAGAAGAGTTGGAGAGGCTCTAAAAGAAGCATATGTCATGTTTTGTCTTCTCCATTACCCCCAGACTGTGGTCTGAGAGCTTTGACCGGACGGATCGTGGGAGGGGCTCTGACCTCAGAGAGCAAGTGGCCTTGGCAGATCAGCCTACACTTTGGCGCCACTCACATCTGTGGGGGTACACTCATCGATGCCCAGTGGGTGCTCACCGCTGCCCACTGCTTCTTTGTGTAAGTGCCTAGGGAGGGGGTGGGGGTGGGCTTGATTGGCTGCTGCTGGGGACTTGGAGACACTAGGAAGGGCTTATGGACACTTTAGTGCAAGCCTAATTCTTCAGGGTCAGCTACTGATTAAAAGATGAAGTGTGAATAAGAGTTTGGCTTTGAGCTTGAACCAAGGATGAAAAACAAGGCCCCTAAGAAAAATGAGGCAGGCTGGAAAAAGACCTTCAGATCCTTTCCCTGGAGAGCAGGTGAAATGAGGCTCCAGGCCTGTTGTTGCCACCTCCTGCAACAACAGCTGCAGAACTAATGGCAGTAGAGTGACAATGGGGAATGATGTCTCAGGACTTGAGGGACAAGGACAACAGCAAGGTGGCACAGCTGACTTCTGAGAGTTCCTAGAAGCCTTTGGGGACCCATAGCACAGATATTGTGGAAACTGGCTCCCTGAGTAAAGACTCTTCATTACCTCGTCCTGTCTAAATCTCCATGGCTGATGACATCTATCCCACTTCCTGGGTTCCATCCTTAGTGACATGCAGATGGGGGTAGTGGGAATGAATGACGCACAGAGGGGTTATTAATTCATTCATTCATTCCTTCATTCATTCATTTTCCTCCCACACTCTAAGGTTCTGGGCAGCCAGTTCAGAACAATTTTGAGGAGATAGTTTGGGGCTTCATAAGACAAAGGACTCCTTCAGAGGTCATTTTATCCATCCTCCTGTCTCCAGGCTGGTGCTCCAGCTTTGGCTGCCTGTGTATGGTAGAACTTGCCAGTGAACTCTGCCAGGTATGTAACTGTACTCTGTGGCTCTTGCAGGACCCGGGAAAAGGTTCTGGAGGGCTGGAAGGTGTATGCAGGTACCAGCAACCTGCACCAGCTGCCCGAGGCTGCCTCTATCTCCCAGATCATCATCAATGGCAACTATACCGATGAACAGGATGACTATGACATCGCCCTCATAAGGCTTTCCAAGCCTTTGACCCTGTCAGGTGAGTGAAGGTGTCCCTGCTTCCCAGAACCCTGGGCTTGGAAGCCCCTGTTTACCCAGCTTAAGGCTCCCAGGTGTCATCACAGCAAAAGCCCTAAAGGAACTTAGAGATCATTACATGAAATACATTTATTTTACAAGTAGGAAAACTGGGGGTCTGGAGGACATGACTCAGTGGCTAAAGTGCTGGCTGTACAAGAATGAGGACTTGAGTTCTGATCCCCAGAGCCAGAGTAAAAAAATTGGGCTTAGTGGCATATGCCTGTAATGTCAGCACTGGGAGGCAAAGACAAGAGGACCCCAGCAGCTTGGTAATAGCCAAAGCTTCTAGTTCAATGAGATACCTTGTCTCAAAAACACAAGGTGTAGAAGTGATTGAGAAAATACATCTTGACATGATTCTTTGACCCCTATACACTTGCATGGGCAATAGCACCTACATGTGTCTGTATGTGCACGCACACACACATATACACACACATATACATGAGCAACACACAAGGAAAGGAAGAAAGAAAACATTAATTGGGAAAACTTAGGCCCAAGATTTAGAAACATGTGTGGCCCAAATGGCACATCTCATATTGTAAATTAGCCCAAGGTCTAGGACTTATGTACTGGTCTTAATAAATATACATAAATAGAATTGACTTGCTGCTAGTAGCGAATGGCACATCTCATATCGTAAATTAGCCCAAGGGCTAGGACTTATATACTGGTCTTAATAAATATACATAAATAGAATTGACTTGCTGCTAGTAGCTATGCACTTAGCAGCTGCCAGACAGTGTGCACCAGTACTCATTTCATTGCTGTGACAGGACACCCAGTAAAAGCAATTTAATGTCAGAAGGATTTATTTGGTTCATGGCTTGAAGGGATTCAGTCCACCATAGAGGAGAAGCACAGTAGAAGGCAGGTGATTTTCATGGCAGCAGGAGTGTGTAGCTACTTGTTCATATCTAAGTGAGGTCAGGAAGTGGGGACAGGCTATGAACCTTTAGGTCCATCCATGCTACCTACTTCTTCCTATGAGACTACCTTCTAAAGATTCCACAACCTCCCAAAGTGGAGCCACCAGCCGGGACCAAGTGTTCAATCACACAGGCAGGCTTGCTTGTATGGGGCATTTTATATCTGAGCCATAACACACTGGGAGATACTTGGTATGTATGATTGCGTGTACTCTTCTCAACCAGTCCAGTAGAGGGGAGCCTATGAGCTCCCTCTGACATATGGGAGAGTGGAGATGTTAACTGAGGGTGTGAGTGCCAGGCAGTAGCTCCTGCATGGTATCCAGATAAATCTGACTCCAAAGCAAGGAAGGTCCTGTCCACCTGGCTCTGGGCTAGCTCATGGTGTACACTGCAGTGAAGAACATGAGTTGAGCACAGGTTTGAGTGACTCACTACTCCAACTTGGGAGCAAAGGACCAAGTGAGACTACATGATAGAAAGGTTACAGAAGTTCTCTGACCACTGGGGACACTGAGTGTCAAAGAAGGCCCCATTCATTCACTCACTCATTTGCTCATTTTTTACTGTGTGTCTACTACACAGACAAAGGCAAATAGAACAAAACAGGTGCACCAAGACCACCAGAAAGGGCCAACAGTGTCATGTTAGGAGATCAAAGGAGAAGGGAGGGCAGTCAGATGTGCAAGCTAGGGACAGTGCAGAGGATAGCTAAGGTGAGTTCTAAAAGAACAGATGGAACTGGAGGAAGACTCAGTGGCAAAGAGCACATACTGCTTTGTTAGAGGACCAAGTGCCCAGCACCGGTGTTGAGCACTTTAACTCCAGATCCAGGAGATCTGATGCCTCTTTTGGACTCTACTGGGTACCTAAATATACATGCACACACACCTAAAAATACAAAATTTAAAATGTGTCCAACTAAAAATGAAAATCTTTAAAGAGATTGGTGAAGACAGGTTAAGGAAGCTTAGAAGAGAGCCTGAAGGTTGAGGCCACAAGAAAAGCCTAAGAAAAGTCTCACGGAAGTGAAGCAGGCACTTCTTTTTTGGAGGGCCAGGATTCCCTGAATCCTTGGAGAGCTCTGATTAGTACAGACATTCTAGAGCCTTGAGTCTGTGAACTGGTGTTTCCTCACATATCCATATGGAAGCAGTGTCTACCACCAGTCAGAACAGCTAGCTCATCAGAATGGGGTGAGGAGAAAGAGCCCTGGGCGCAGCTCTGATGTGCAATCTGGCTATGGCCACACCCACCCAGGCTTATCTACGGACCCTGGGCACTCAAGCAGTCCCTTTCCCTGAGACTCACACACAAACAAGCCATGAATCTGAACAGGGCTTCTTGACCTTGTACAACTCTGAAACCATTTTCCTAAGACACCTATGTTTTACCCGGATTCTCTCCTGGCATGGGTGCGTCCTGGGGCCCTCACATATCCATATGGAAGCAGTGTCTACCACCAGTCAGAACAGCTAGCTCATCAGAATGGGGTGAGGAGAAAGAGCCCTGGGCGCAGCTCTGATGTGCAATCTGGCTATGGCCACACCCACCCAGGCTTATCTACGGACCCTGGGCACTCAAGCAGTCCCTTTCCCTGAGACTCACACACAAACAAGCCATGAATCTGAACAGGGCTTCTTGACCTTGTACAACTCTGAAACCATTTTCCTAAGACACCTATGTTTTACCCGGATTCTCTCCTGGCATGGGTGCGTCCTGGGGCATGAAGTGGACCTTAAGTCTAAGAACCACAGTTCAGATTTATGTAGCCCTAGGGTCAGATCATATGCTTAGATGTTTGGTTCACAAATCAGGGCAGGATTTCCTTGAGTTACAGTGTTTTATGTGAAAACTCAATAATTTAAACTCCTCCCCCAACAAGAGCAGTCTAAAGCTTTCTCCTCTCTTAAACTGTCCAGGACTCGGCCTATGCAATGAAGCTTATCACAACAGGCTGGGTCATCTTCCATAATTAACAATCAAGACAATCCCCCACAGACATGCCCACAGGCCAACCTGATCTAGATAACTCCTCAATTGAGACACAGTTCAGATTTATGTAGCCCTAGGGTCAGATCATATGCTTGGATTTTTGGTTTACAAATCAGGGCAGGATTTCCTTGAATTACAGTGTTTTATGTGAAAACTCAATAATTTAAACTCCTCCCCCAACAAGAGCAGTCTAAAGCTTTCTCCTCTCTTAAACTGTCCAGGACTCGGCCTATGCAATGAAGCTTATCACAACAGGCTGGGTCATCTTCCATAATTAACAATCAAGACAATCCCCCACAGACATGCCCACAGGCCAACCTGATCTAGATAACTCCTCAATTGAGATTCTCTTCCTAAGGGATGCCAGGTTATGGCAAGCTGACGTTTAAAACTAACAATCACAACCTGAGTTTGCCTCTCCCTCATTAGTCCCTTCCTCCTCAAGTGTTCACAGATCCCGGAAGCCAGGTCAGGCCTAGAAATGGGTGCAGAATGCAGTAGTGAACGTAACAAATGACTGAGAATGCTGCAAAATTCTACCAGTGAATACTTTCCTCCCATACTTCAGAGCTGACTGGTCAGTGTCACAGACAGACCATCTAAGGGGCCCCACGCTGAGGGAGCTGGTGAAATGAAGAACAATGACACTTGGTAGGTAGTGCCCAGCATGGGAGCCAGTTAGCAGGGGTTTGTGGTCTCAGTCTTTAGGTACGTGCTCTTCTGCTTGGCTCATACTTGCCCTATGTCAGATGACTGTTTAGACAGAAGGCCCCAAGTGGTGGCCCGCCAACAGGTGCCCTCCTGGATCAGGTGGCATGCAACATGAGCATAACATCAGAAACTTATCTTTCACTGTTCATGCTTTGAGGGAAAGGCCTGGGAGAGTCTCAGCCAGCAGAATTGCTCTTGATGGAGAGACTTGCCTATGCCCTGTGTCAGCTTGGCTCCAGAATGGCTTCGTGGATGCTGGCAGCACACTGAGGGTTGCCAGGTTCAGATAAATTGACTGTCAATATCTGGTCAGTCAAAAACCTTAGAGGATTCAGAGCCCTGAGAGAACAAAGATCAGACTCCTATAATGCATCTGCTCTGCCTCTCCCCAACCTCTCCTCTAACCTTGCTCCCACACTGACCCTAAATGTCTTGTCGCAGCTCACATCCACCCTGCCTGCCTCCCTATGCATGGTCAGACCTTCAGCCTCAATGAGACCTGCTGGATCACTGGCTTTGGCAAAACCAAGGAGACAGATGGTGAGAGGAAGAGACGCAAGGCTGTGTGTGTATGTTTGTACGTGTGTGTGTGTGTGTGTGTGTGTGTGTGTGTGTGTTTTGTAGGCCATGTGTATGCAGATGAAGGCCTATCTAGGTGAGAGTTTGGGTGTATAGACTCATGGTTAACAGATGAACATGGATACTAGTGATTATATTGGCACAGTCCCTGTGAGAACATCTTCTAGGCCAGGAAGCCCCTACAGCTGAACAAGGTGGGTTTAGTGCTCACGACAGTGAGGGGAAACACACTTTTCACTAAGAGGCTGTTAGAAGAACTGGAGAGATTTCTCAGTGGTTAAGCACTTATGACTCTTCCGAGGACCTGGGCTTCATTCTCGTCACCCACATAGTGGCTCACAACAGCCTGTAACTCCAGTTCCAGGGGATCCAAGGCCCTTTTCTGGCCTCTAAGGGCACCAGGTACATAGACAAAAAAGTTCAGACACATCAAAAGAAATGAATGGATATTTTAAAAAGAAGCTATTTAAAAAGGCTTATTGTAGTAAATATGGGTAGCTCTGAGAGAGGTTAAGGAAGTGGTACTTTTTTCTAGGTTGGATGCTGTTGAGAAGCAGTGACTGGAAAACTTAATAATCTCATCCAGAAGGAACGTAGAGCCTAAGGCTGTGATGGTGGAGGAGCAGTTGGTCCTGGACTGACTGGGAGAGAGGATGCTTCATGCCTGTGGCTTATAGGAGGACTTTCTACTTGCAGTACTGGATGTTGAACCCAGGACCTCTTGCTCATGCTAAAAGAGAAATGCTGTACTACTGAGTGGCATTGCTAGGCCTTTATGCTCAGTAGGTTACCCCAGATGAAGCTGACTCAGTTTTCAGCCTGGCCTTGCCTTGCACTGATCCTCCTGCCTTAGCCTCCAGGGTGGATGAGGTTACAGGCCTGAACCACTAGGCCTGGCTAAGACAATGAAGGAAGAATGATGGAATAGTTTCACTTGGCCTCACTCAGTCTGAGTGTCTTGTCTGGGGTCAGCTATAAATGACTATCTGTGTCCCTCAGGAGGACACTGTGGCCTGGCCAGCCTGGTCCTTACATTCAGGCCACCTCTACCCATCCGGTCACTATTCCCTGTTCCCTATGATGGAAACTTGGCTGGTCTGGATCCAGCCTTTCAACTTTGCCTGTTTCACCAATTAGCTACACAGAGGAGGCCAGGTCATTTCTTCAGTCCTATGTCATATCCAGACATATAAGTGGTAGCTCAAGACATGCCCTAAAGTCTTTAGGACTCTGAAAACAAATGGCATATGAGATAGTGGTTTGAATGCAGATGAAGTGCCAACTTAGTGTGTTCATTTCTCTGCCCATGGCTGCCACAAAACACCTGACACAATAGCTTAAGGAAGGAAGGGTTTATTAGCTCACAGTTCCGGGTACAGTCCCTCCTGGCAGGGATGTCATGGCATCCTGAGCTTAGGCATCTGGTCATACTGTGTAGTCAGGGGGAACTAAGTGTTATTATTCATATTCCTATGGTGCCATCCAGATTTATGGTGGGTCTTACTACCTCAGTCAACTAATCAAGAAAACCAGACGTTTCCTGGGGCTCCTTTCCTAGTGATTCTAGGCCCTGTCAAGTTGGCAGTCCATTCAAACCATCACGGTCAGGTAGCCTATAGGCTTGTGAGTTTGCTTGGGAACAAGTCTCTTTTTTATGGCCAGCGAGTTGTATCCGGTGTGAGAATGTGTATTCCTCCATGGAAGGCCCCCTTAGGGTGGGTTTGGACACAGACATGGGACCCTCTACTCCCAGACTCTGGGTCCTGAGGGTGCAGCTGATGGCTGTGAGAATTCTTATAGTCTCATTGGCTTCCTATCCTTTCTCCCCATGTTCACCTCACTGAAGAGAAGACATCCCCCTTCCTCCGAGAGGTTCAGGTCAACCTCATCGACTTCAAGAAGTGCAATGACTACTCGGTCTATGACAATTACCTTACCCCAAGGATGATGTGTGCTGGGGACCTTCGAGGAGGGAGGGATTCCTGCCAGGTGAGGTCCTTGTGGTTGGAGCTCAGGTCTCATGCCCCCGTAGATGGGCGATGGCTGGAGTGCTAGGATTGACACAGGAATTGGAGACCCATCCTTTCCTGGTTTGGAGCCCCCTTCTGCACCAGGCTGGCTCACTCTCTGGCTCTTCCTTGCAGGGCGACAGTGGAGGACCTCTTGTCTGTGAGCAGAACAACCGCTGGTACCTTGCAGGTGTCACAAGCTGGGGCACAGGCTGTGGTCAGAGGAACAAGCCTGGTGTGTACACCAAAGTGACAGAAGTACTTCCCTGGATTTATAGCAAGATGGAGGTGAGCGCTCAGTGCAAGGACAGAGCCTGGAGGAGGGTGGAAGGTGTCCAGACGGGGGCCACCTGAGCCCGCGTGTTTGGGTTGTCCAAGACAGGGTTGTCAGGCATTGGACCAGCCCAAGATGTCTGTTTTCCCTCCTTCCCTTCCCTTGGAACAGTGCCCAGAGGGTTATTAAAGGGTGAACTTAGGTGTGGTCCCAGCACCAATATAGGTCACCTCTCCCAGCAATAGACAAAGATATCCAAATTGGCCACTAGAGTGAGCTAAGGGGCTGCCTTCCATGGCAGGAAGTTGGCCATCAGGAAACATGGATCTACTCCAGCTCTACTGTCTCTGTTCAGCAGGGCCCCGCCTCCTTGCCAGTCTCCTGTCTATCTAAAGTGTAAAGCTGGTGCTATGGCCAACCCTCCCCCATTCTTTGGGCAAGGGAAGATAATGCAGAACACAGAGGGAGACTGCATGAGCCTCAGAGTGCAACCCCTTTTTCCCAGAGAATGTGCTAGCGGGCATTCAGCTCTGTGGAATGGCAGGCCCTGGAATTTCTAGTTCTGTGTTTCATGCTCACCCTTACTCTGTTTTCCTGGTCTCTTCCTCAGAGTGAGGTACGCTTCCGGAATTCTTAGCCAGGACCTCCTCACATTACTGACTGCTATGAAGATCCTGGCCATTTGCTGCACCTGGGCCAGGGGCCATCAGGCACCTTTGTTCCTTCAACCTCTGCTGTCTGCTGTCTCTGTGAGAGCTCATAGGTGGTGCGTGTGTGCTTGCATCATGCATGCCTCTGTGTGTGTGTGTGTGTGTGTGTGTGTGTGTGTGTGTGTGTATGTGTGTGTGTTACTAAAGTTTTTAAGAAAACAGGAAAACTTGACTCTTCCCAGAATCCCAGGCTGGAAATCTGGAGTTAAGAGTTTGGGCACCAGGTGTGTTCCTAAGCGTCTGTAAGCGGAGGTGGAGCCAAAAATGAGCTCAGGAAGGGCCTGGAAGATGACAGCAGCAGTTGTCACTCTTCTGACTCTTATTCAGAGACCTGCCCAGACTGGAGAGGCACCCAGCAGCCAGTGACACCATTGCTGCACTGGGACAGCCGAAAGTTTTGTGAGAGTCTGGCTTCTTGGTGTCTGGACCATCTATCCCCGTTAGAAAGCCATTCCCAATGGTTGTTGTGAGTTGCAGGCACTCTCAGGCTCTTGTGGCTGCTGTGGATTCCAGAGCTGGGCTCTGCTGTGGCTTCCATCTCTGGGTGATGACTGTGACTCAGGCTTGCTGTACTTTTGGTCACAAGCTGTTGGGATGGATTTTATTTTATTTTTATATTTAAGATATAGAAATCGATGTGATTTTAAGGAGTCTCCAAAATCCTACGGACCTTGGGCCGTTTTGCATGAATCACTTCATGAACCCCAGGGGACTCGTAGGAGCTGTACTGCTGTAACATCCTGTGACATAGGATGATGTCATGAAATTAGGTGAAGTGCCTCAATGAAATCCTCAGGGTGGCGTGGAGACTAGGGCCCTTTCAGATACTCAGGGAAGAAAACCCTCATTTGGGCTGACAGTAAAACGCAATGCATGCTGCTCTAGCCTCCAAGGACTACAGCCCACAGAACTGACGATGTGTGTGGTGCTCTGCTTATCCTGCCAGGACCCCTGGGAAAGTCTCGGTGCCCAGCATCATCTACACCCAAGGGCTGAGCTGGGACTGTGCAGTTAGTTTCTGGCTTCCCCCATCTTCCTTCATCAGTTTTGTACTGACTCAAGAGGCCATGAGGAGAAAGCAAGAACTGTCCCAGAATCTCTCTAAGCAGCCCTTCTGGGAGGTCTAAGTTGTCCCGGCCTCCCCCCAAGGCCTTTTTTCTTTGTCACCTGTTTCTCCTCAGCCCCACTCCCATCATCTTCCTTGGCCCTACCAGACCTCTTGTGATACTGAATCTCAGAGGCAAGTTCAAGGCGATCAGGACAGCTCAAGACAGCTCAGACAAGCTGGAGGTAGCCAGAGTGGATGGGTAACATCAGACAGGGATGGAACGTTAGGGAATGTCTTCAAGGCTGGGAAGGGGGGACAGCCTTCACGTCTGCAGACGTTCCCCGCACTGAGCTACAATAATAAAAGTGTGTGACATGACAAAGTTGTTGGATGTTTCATTGATGACGCAGGTAGAAAATCAAGATGGCCTGCATTCTGCCCCAGTGCCCAGGCATCTCAGGCATGCTTCTTGTTGAGTTTCTCACTTGTGGGTTCTGTTTACCCAATCCTACATCTGTTTGTTGACTCCTTCCCCAATGATATCAGAGCTCAGTGATGCCAGGTACCCACGCTAAGCCCAGGCACTCCACGGAGCAGCACACCCTGTGTGATGGAAGTGATGAGTAAGTGTGGATACCAGGCTTGGGACATGGATGTATGAGCCAGCCACATCTACAGAGGTCAGGAAAGGCCTGGCTGGGGAGAGGAGGTTTGTCGTGAGTTTTAAAGAGTAGGTGAACGTTCCTAAAGTAGACGTGGCATGGAGAGGGCACTCTGGGGTCAGTCTTTCCCTGTGTCCCTCTGCCTTTCTTAGCTCAGCAAGAAGTGTGTCCCTAAGCCCCAGTGATCACCCACTTCTTTATGAGGGCCGATTGGATGACCTTTGACCTCTTCTGCAAGATCTACCCCTCCATGCTGACCCTCACTTTTTTAGTGTTTGCTACATTAACCTTTACAGTTATGACTCCACTAATGGTTGTCTAGCACACTACCACACATGTGCATGTCTGTGGCCACCCTCAGCATTTTCCTGATCTACATGTGCCTGGCCTATGATACTTCTACTTAGTTTGTATCTCTTATCAGTGCCTAGGCAATCCCTCCTCGGATTCTTTTCTTGCTTTGTCTGCACAAGAAGACCTAAGGAAGGTAGTAGGGGTGGCTGCTGTATTCCTAGTCTCAGCATCATGACTCTAATAGTGCCTACAATCTCCATGGTTTAACTTAATCAAAGTCTAGTTCTCATCCATTAACAGTTCCTCCAGCTGGAGGATTTCTTCCGTGTGGGTTTCTAGGATTGATGTCCTTCCATCATGTGACCGTCAAGGCCATATCATCTGCTTTTGACCAACAAAAAGACATGTAGATGACACACCCATTTCTTAGATGCCTAGCTCAGATGTGATTTATGTGAGTGTTAGACCCCCCGGAAAACTCAGGTATCCGGGGTCCCAGGCCATGACTGCAGTCACCCTAATCACCAGGCGGATTCGAGAGCTTGATGAAAACTGCACGAGGCTTTATTGTAATTTAATGAGCTAACCCCATGTTAGCTCAGGTCTTTAACCCACCCGCCATGGCGGATGGCTAGCAAAGACAACTCTTAGGGCCTCCCAAGAGATCTTGTAGGGCAGCGTAAGGGGAGTGTCTAGGGGTACACACAGGCTCACAATTGGTGTGCCTCCAGCCTTGGAGGGCTTGCCAGTGTGTTGATTGGTCAACTGGTTGTTATGGCCCATAGGCCCTCCCAGGTTGGTTGCTATGCTCTTCGTCATTGCTGTGTGCTTGTCTGTAAAGTACACCCAGGGTAGTAAAGCATAGCGCCACCAACTAACTTCTGATTGGTTCCTTGTCACGAGACAGGCACCTAACCTCTAGTGACTAAGACAAGATCATAGAGCACATGTTACTGTCATGGCTGCCGAAATGGGGAGCTGGTCCCTTCATGAGCATATCACATGGTGTCACTGAGAGGCTGTGGGGCCAGGAATTATAGCCTTTGTCTCACACCCATAGAGACGACGGCCAGGTATCTCTGTCTACCAGAAGAAGCCGGCTATAACTCTAGAAGCCAGCCCTGGGGCAGAATAACAGGACTTTGGCCACTTCTGTTCATCTTTCTTCACATAAGCAGCTCTTTCCAGGGTATGTCCTCCTTTTCAAATTATAAGCTGATTGGCAGATAGGGAAGGGCAAGGGAACAGCATAGAAAGAAAAATCAGACTCTGCAAATGAAATGGAAAATACATTTCTTTAACTTAGGGTGTCTATAAAGGTTAAAAACCTTACAGAAAGGGGGCGGTGGGACTTCCCAAATTAGTCCAGAATCTCTGGGGAGGTTGACGGTGGCTGTAAGGGGCAAATACAGGAATACTGTTCCAGGTTCCCAGTTCCCAAACATCTCCACATAACAATCCAACCCTTTGGCTTTGCCATCTCTGTTAGCTGTTGAGTTTCCACAGGATTTCTCTGGGATGCAAATGAGAACCTTGTGAACTGGGCAGGTGCTGGCTCTGTGGAGAGGAGCCACTTCCAGCTTGGCTGGTGATCTGGTTGCCTCTGGGGTTTGATTAGATTCCCAGGGGCCATTGTTTCACATAATTGCTCGCCTTTATTCTGATGCAACTGGGAGAACATGAGGAGATGCACATGGAGCCCTCCTGGCACTGACAATGAGGAGGATAGGGACAACAACTCAGCATCTGCCTGTGTCAGATGGTCACCTGTGGTCCATTATTACTGTAAACCTACAATTCCACAGAGCGCACATGACAGCTATCCCTATTCTGTAAACAAAGAGACAAAGGCTTGGCTGGGCAAAGTGCACCTCCCAAACCACGCAGCACTCAAGGGCCAGAGCTGGACTTTGAATCCCGTGTCCGTACTGTGGTTGTTGAAGCTGCTTTGCTGCACTCTGCACACAGCAGTTCCCAAGGCCAGGGGAAGCCCCTCCTGCTTGTGACCTCAGTAGGGTCTGCCATCTGGCTCTGTGTATCTTTCCAGGATGGGAGGAGTGGAACAACTCCCCAGAGACAGATGGGCACAATCCTTGGAGTATCACATGATCAGAAGCTTAGATTTGGCAATTTCCCTCACCTGCAAATGGATGGTTTCCAGGAAGCCCTCTCAAGCCATGACAAAGCTGTCATTCAGTACACCTCCATGTCTTCTTGCTCTGGGTCAGTGGCTTTAAAAGGCACATGCCATTCATTCCCTACCTGCTCACCACTGGTCCTCACTTCCTATCTTTTGGAAAAGCTGAGTCTCAGCCCAGGAAGTAAACAACATCGTGATCTTAGAGCTCATCTGCCCAGAGAATGGGGAGGGTCACATACCCGATGATCAGTTCTGGACCACCCAGAAAGAAAACTGTTAAAGAAGACCTCCAAGAAAGGCAAAGGCCCGACCTGGTCTTTGATCCTCCCTAGCTCGGTTCCTTCGAACAGGACATGGAATGTGGATATCACTGATGGCTTCTCTACCCAAGCCTGAGTCTCAGAGGAGGTGGCCACACCCGTGCCTTGAGGACCTCCTCTTAATTACACAGTTGTAGTAGACTGAGGTTGGACCCAGAGTACCTGGAGGTGCAAATTCCAGCTCTGCCACTCACTTGGCGGATCCCTCTATTTCCTCATATGTGTAGTGTAGGTATCTCTCCCGCATGCTGTAGAATGTGGTGGGATGGTAGACATACACAAGTGACACTGAAAAGTTTCTGCACCCCATAAGCCTCTCGGCTGACGCAATGACCCAAATCAGACCAAATCAAACCAAATTGGAAAAAGCCCACATTTAATGGATACAACACTCCTGGGCGGCTGGAAAGGGAGACCAGAAAAACCATGAGTCTGGTTTCTGGGGGGGGGGCAGTTTAAATAC